ATACCCTTTTTAGTATTATATCATTATTTCAAATAAACAAAAACTTCAATTGTTAGAACGTTTATTCTTAAAAATATAATCATTTGTGAATTATTCTATTATTATATTATTCATTTCTTTTCATTTTTGAAACTATTCTTTCAATCATATCAACTTTCTTCTTTTAAACAATATTTTCTTATTTGTTATTTCTTCCCTTTCACATCTCCATTTTCCTTATTCCCAACTTCAACTTTTACATTTTACTCAATTATTTTGAATGTTTATTACTATTTGACATTTTCTTATTTAACATCTACGCTTATTTAGAGTTGAATTGCTTCAACACTTTATAAATTTTGAAATTAAACAAATTCCTTTGAAATAACTAATTCATGTTGTCCAATGTTTGTATATTATTAAATTGGATCTAAATATCTCAGAACTTATTCATCACTCAGTATTCTATTTATTACTTTATAACTATATCAATTCGTGATGTATCATATTATGAGTATTAAATCATACAAAACATTGAAACTATTCAAAGAACATTCTTTCTTTTATAAAATTAACGTATTGTGTTTTTGAACAATGAAGTTTATTCAAATATTTTGATTGATGAACAAAAAACATACCGTTACTGATGAAAATTAACAAATATTAAATAAAATATTAATCATTATAGCGTTAAAAAGAAAGAATGTGTATTAATAAAGAATATTCGAAATATTATCAATTGAAAATAGAATTAGAATGAAATGTAAAAACAAAATAACTAGAATAAAACTTAAATGAATAAAAGAATAAAATGAATGTTTTGTTGATTATTTCATTTTAATGATTCAAAACAAAACTATAATCATTTATATATGACATAACTAATATTAGTTAGTCTTTTCATATTTTGTTGATAATTTCATAATACTTTCACATATAAATATTATTATAGATAGTGTTGAAATGTCATTTATTAAATACATCGTTTATTTGATTTATATTATACAATAATGAGATAATGATATAAAGTATAACATAAGATATTGAGATTGATATTATTACATTATAAAAATGTTAATATATTTTGATGTTATTATTGTATTTAATGAATATAATACTATCATTTTCATCAACAAATGAAAATAAAAATATTTAGAATTTCATTAATAAAAGAAATATTGAATATCATCGAATAATTAAAATAAATTTAATTAGATTCTTTATTCTATTTATTTTCATCATAAACAATAATATTATTTAATTTAAATTACAATACAATGACATTGTTAATAAATATGATGTGAAAAAAAAA